CCCTCCTGGGCCGTTCCGGGGCCGTCTTGGGAGCCTCGTGGGCCGTCTTGGAGCGGTCTTGGGGGCCTCTTGGGCAGTCTTGGAGCGTCCGGAAGCCGAAAAAGCCAGAACGCAAAAAACATAGAAAAACAATGAAAATCAACGATTTTGGCCTCTTGGGGCCCTCTTCGGAGGCCTCTTGGAAGGCCCTTGGGGCGTCTTGGAGGCCTCTTGGGCTGTCTTGGGGCCCTGTTGGGCGTCTTCGGGCGATCTGTGGCCGTCTCGGGGCCCTCTTGGACCGTCTTGGAGGCTTCTTGGGGACCTCTTGGCCCGTCCTGGGGCCCTGTAACAGGGCTCCGGCATCTCTGGCCCGACCTTGCCGGGACCTTGCCGGGGTACTTTTCGTCCGGGGACCCCCCGGGGCCGCCCCGCGCGCGCGAACTAGAAATACTGTTAACCAGGTACCGGAGATCTTAGCACGCCCTGGCCCGTTGGGCCGGCGAATTTTTGGGATGTGGTCCTGAAGTACGATGGGAGCAACATAAGGGGAGGGGACGGTTGTTTGTTGGTGTTTTTTCTTCATGTTTTTTCGGGGGGGGGTCCAGAGATAGCATTGTTTTCATGTGTGGGCCCCCGAGACCCCCTCGAAAAAACCCAAGCTCCTCCCCTCCCCCCAGGCTCTTCGGGGGAAGCCTCGGCAAACCCCTCGGCTACGAGGCTGTTCTGCCTCTGTTTCTATGGTTTTCCGAGGTTTCTCCAGCCACCCCAAGGACCCCCCACGCGCATACCAAGGATGCGCTTTTGTTTATCAGCTTGGCGAGGGGCCTCGCCGCGAAGCGGGAGATGCACAGCAGAGGGACACGTCTAGTCCCAAGGAGGGTTCTTCCGGCCCCCCCAGGGACCCCCCGCCCCAAGAACCCCCCCCCATTTCTCCGGTGCTTCGGGGCTTCTCCTGCCGCCCCAAGAACTCCGCACACGGATGGCCCCCAGGACCGTCCAAAAACCTTACAGCCGGCCCAGACTAGTAGGTCGACCCTGCCAAATCAAGGGAACCTTTGTGTCCTGCGTCTCGCGCCCCATGCCTCCCCATACCTTGCTGTGGCAATGTGGCCCTCGGAACCTCGGAAGGGTCTCGTGCCCTCTCGCGTGTCCTGTCCACTCAAGTCCGACTGTACATCACGTTGTTTTACAAAAATATGTGTCACAGGTTTTGCGGATGGCCGCCGGCTCCCCCAGGATCCTTCCGACAGAGATGTTCGGAGGTTCCAGGAGGCCTCCGGAGGTCTTCGGCCCCGGAGGCTCTCGGAAGTTGCGAGAGGCCTCTGGAGGCCTTCGGAGGCCTCGGGGGGGCCCTCGGAGGCACCGGGAGGCCCCCGAGGGCTTGCGGGCCCTCTGCGGTGCATCCCCGCTGCTCGACGAGGCCCCTCCCCGAGCTGATTGCAAAAGCATCCCTGGTGCCAGACGTGCCCCACCTGCCGTGCACCACCCGCTGCTACACAGGGCCCCTCCCCATGTTGATCGAGGAAGCATCGTTGGTCTCAGGCGCGCCCTCCTGCTGTGCATCACCCGCTGCTCCACGAGGCCCCTCCCCGAGCTGATTTCAAGCGCATCCTCAGTACGGGACGTGTCCCTGTGCCGTGCGCCACCCTCTGGCCAGCGACGAGGCAACTCCCCAAGCCGATGGAGACAAGCCATCCTTGGCACTGGACGTGCCCCTGCGCCGTGCGCCAGCCGCTGCCAGACGAGGCCCCTGCCCAGAGCTTGAAACACAGCCTTGGTACTAGATGTGCCCTTCTGCCGTGCACCACCCGCTGTTAGACGAGGCCCCCCCCCCCTAAGTTGAGAAGGAAGCATCCTTGGTCCTACTACCGACCCCAGATCTTCCGACAAGCAGTTCCGACACGTCAGACATGTTTGAGGTTAATTTTGACGAGGGTTGTAGACGTGCCTCTCTGCTGTGCATGTCCCGCTGCTCGACGAGGCCCCCCGCCAAGCCGATCACAAACAAAAGCATCCTGGGTATATACTATGAGTGCCACCCTCTGCTAGAGGCCTGCGGAGGCTTCCTGAGGCCCTCAGAGGCACCGGAAGGCCCTCGAGGGCTTTCGGGCCCTCTGCGTGCATCACCCGCTGCTCGACGAGGCCCCTCCCCAAGCTGATCACAAAAGCATCCTTGGTACTAGACGTGTTCCCTTTGCTGTGCCTCGCCTGCTGCTAGCCGAGGCCCCTGACCCAAGCTGATTGGACACATAACTTTGTACTAGACGTGCCCCTTTGCTATGCATCGCCCTCGTCTCGACGAGGCCCCCCGACAAGCTGATCACAAAAAAATCCTTGGTACGTACTAGAAGTGCCAACCTCTGCTAGACGAGGGCCCTCTCCAAGTTGATTAAGGAAGCATCCATGGTACTGGACGTGCCTCTCTGCCGTGCGACACCCTCTGCTAGACAAGGCTCCTCCCCAAGTTGTTTAACCCAGCATCCTTGGTACTAGACGTGCCCCATCTGCTGTGCCCCGCCCGCTGCTAGACAAGGCCCTTCCCCAAAGCTGATCAAGCAGGCGTCCTTGGCATTAGACCTGCCACGCTGCCGTGCATCACCCGCTGCTCGACGAGGCCTCTCCCCGAGCTGATTTCAAACGCATCCTCGGTACTGGACGTGCCCTTGTGTCGTGCGCCAGCCGCTGCAAGACGATGCCCCTTTCCCTAGCTGTGAACAACTCCCTCATTACTTGACGTGCCCATCTGCTGTGGACCATCCACTGCTAGACAAGGCTCCTCCTCAAGTTGAGTCAGGAAACATCCTTGGTACTAGATGTGCCCCTCTGCTGTGCATCGCCCGCTGCTCGACGAGGCGCCTCCCCAAGCTGGTCAAACAAGAATCCGTGGTGCTAGACATGCCCCTCTGCCGTGCGCCACCCTCGGCTAGACGAGGCTCTGCCCCAGGCTGATCACAACAGCATCCTTGGTACTGGACGTGTCCAGTTTGCCGTGCGCCACTCTCTGCTCGACGGGGCCCCTCCCCGACGAGGCCCATCCCCGGACTGACTTTAACGCGGCACCGCTTGGTGCTGAGCGTGCTTGTGTGCCGTGCGCCACTCTCTGCTAGACGAGGCCCTTCCCCACGCTGAGTACAAAAGCATCCGTGGTACTAGGCGTGCCCCTGAGCTGTGCACCACGCGCTGCTACACGAGGCCCCTCCCCAAGCTGTCTTATACCACAGCCTTGGTACTAGATGTGCCCATGTGCCGTGCGCCAGCCGCTGCCAGACGAGCCCTTTCCCCGGGCGAAGTACACAGGTATCCCTGGTGCTAGATGTGCCCCATCTGCTGTGCACCGCTTGCTGCTAGACGTGCACCTGGGCTGTGCACCACCCGCTGCTCGACAATGCCCCTCACTGGCGAGGCCACTGCCCAAGCTAATTAAAACAACAGCTTGATACTAGACGTGCTCTTGTGCCGTGCGCCACACTTCGCTAGGCGAGGCCCCTCCCAAAGTTGAGTACGGACGCATCCTTGGTACTAGACGTGCCCCTTTTGTTGTGCATCACCCGCTTCTCGATGAGCGTCCCCAGCTGATTACAAACGCATCCTTGGTATTGGACGTGCCCCGTTGCCTTGCGCCACTCTCTGTTAGACAAGGCTTTCCCCCAAGCTGATTAAAAACGCACCCTTGGTACTGGACGTGCCCCTGTGCCGAGCGCCAGCCGCTGCCAGACGAGACCCTTCCCAGGCTGCAAAAACATCATTGATACTAGATGTGCCCCGCTGCTGTGCACCACGCACTGTGAGACAAGGCCTCCCCCCAAGCTGATTGCAAAACAGCATCCTTGGTACCAGACGTGCCCCTCTGCTGTGCCCCGCCCGCTGCTCGACGAGGCCCTCCCCAAGCCGATTGAACAAGCATCCTTGGTAGTAGAAGTACCCCTCTGCCGTGCGCCACTCT